GATGAAGTCTATGTGGTGTAGCAGTGGCAGTGGCAGCATTGTGTCCATCCTGCATGGTCACAGCAGCTGGAGCCAGTGGCTGCACGGGTCTCCAGGTCCCCGAAGTCTTTGTTCCCTGGTTGTGGCACCATTGTTAGATTTTCTCGAGTAGCATAGACAGATAATGCCAGACCAAATGGTTCCACAAGGGGGAGATTATTGAGGGTGTGGGTAAAGGTGGGGAGAGAAATGGGAGGAATGGCAGAGAGAAGAGAGAACTGGAGGCTGCCCATGACCATGTGGAGAGAGAGGGGAGGGAAGGGAAGAGGGGTAAGAGGACAGAGAACCTGCAGGCAGAGGGATCAAGGGAACAAGAGAGTGAGGAGGGGGCAGGCAGCCTCATTTATAGTGGGCAGGCCTATCTGGCTGTTGCCAGGTAACTGTGGGGAGGAGCATGCCCGTCTGCTGCCAGGTAACTGTGGAGATGGAGTTTAGACAGAATACTAACACCTTTGCCATTGAATCTTTAACTATCTTCCTCTCACCTCCTGGATGGTCTCCAGTATGTACTTCTCAATTTTCTACACCCTTAGGTAACACAGAGAAAGTAGCTGTCCCTTTACACACATACACTGAGGGGCCTGCTGCCGGCTTCTCTCATCTTGGGAGTGCACATGTATGGGGTTTGTCACAGGAAACTTCTCAACTTTGGGTGTATGCACCCTAAGCCCCACCCTCTAAGGCTCCTTCTGGGACATGGTTTTGATTCAAAGGTCCCTTGTTCCCAACATTTGGGTAATCTCCACCCCTGTGTCTCTAGGTTGGGGATATCCCAGGAGTCAAGGCCTGCTGCTAACTTACAGAGATCAAAGACAAGGTGTGGCAGCCAGGCACAAGGCGGGTGTTCCACTGTAGTGGACTAAGCCACAGTTCCAATGGCTAAGAGTACTTGCCAAGTTACTTTGGTAAGGTTGTATGGGGTGCTGAGGCTCAGTATGGGAAGGAAGACACACCATAGCCATTTAATGGTTTCTCTGGCCTTGCATAACAGCAGGTGATCTTGAACTTGAGGGGATTGCTCAGGTGTCCTGCTGCCCTCCAGTTGGCATCAGGTGCAGGTGTTGGTCTGAGTTTTGTGACGTCAGGCAATTACTTGAAATACTTCAACAGAGGTTGGGATGGTCAACAGCACCAGGAACAGCCTCTTTTACTTTGCTTACTCACGTGGAACCTCTGGTGTACCTTCCTTATACAGATAACTAAGTGTAGGTCACAGTTCCTGGTGTCTGATTTGGAAAGCTTACAATCTAGCCATAATATCCTTATTAGCCTGAAAAGTCTTTTGGGGCAGGGGGAGTCAAGGAAGTGGGGGTCCCACACAAGAGGGGTGTTCTAGGCTCAGAATAGGGCCAGGACACTGGGTACCACCCAGCCAGCGCCAGTTTCCAAGGGCAATTTAGTTAAGGTCTGTTTTTAGGGTTCTGTTCATCCTCTCTACCTACCCTGAGCTCTAGGGACAGTAGGAACAATGGAGTTTCCAATTAGTCCCCAATATCTCTGACAATCCCTGACTTAGCTTAGAAACTAAAGTATGACTGTCATCTGATCCAATTACCTTGGGCACTTGAAACCTCTGGAAGATTTCTTCTTATATCTTCTTGGTTACCACGGTAGCTGATTCCTGCTTTGTGGGGAAAGCCCCAACCCATCTAAAGATAGTATCTACAAATACTAGAGTGTCTCCATATTTTCTTGGCTTAACTTCTGCAAAATTGGCCTCCCAATACACTCTAAGCTGTTCTCCCCTAGGTATTTTTCCCTGTTTATTTTTGGCCTCAAGCATTTGCTTGCTGGCATACCTTACACTGTTACTATAACTCTCAGGTGAATAATCTTAAATTCCTAGTGAATTTTTGCCCAAAATTGGTGTGCCACCTGGAACGGGTGGTAAGTTTAAAAGCTGCGGTGTTACCTGGACCACCATGTTCTACCACCAGAAGTGGCCATCAGCCAAGGTCCCTGCAAGCAGCAGGTGGGAAGCCACTTGTAAGGACCGTTGGGGCTTTTGAGACCTCTGCAGAAATTGGTACTGCAGAGTCTGGTGCTGCTGTTGCTGCACCTTCATGACTCCAGTCAGGATGTTGCTGAGGTCAGTGTCCCATAACTGTCTCATCCAGTTCTTCCCCTTCTACCTTGTGAACCCTCTGAAGGTTTCATGCTAGGGACAAGAACCTCAAGGAGTTCCAGGTCTTCCCTTGGGCTGCTGTACTGAGCACCTCACCCTGGGCTTTGCCAAACTTTTTTGGCCACCTTCCCTGTCTTTCCACGAGTGGCCATCTCCTGGACCCCTAACCCTGCTTGCTTTCTCCAGTGCAGAGCTCAGAGTAGACACTAGCCCACTGTGATCAGGCTCTTTGATGGGGCCTGCTGGAGGAGATGGTTACTGTGGCTCAGTACGACAGCACTGAGGCTCTGTGCTGTGTCTGCCACCACCTGGTTAGTAGAGAAATCACCAGGGTCTAATCAGTTGCTCACATGTCATAGGAGTCTAGAGTCCACTCTTCTTCAAAACAGAGCCTCCTTTGAGTAACGTGTTTTCAAATGAGAATGGTGAGCTAGAAAGTTGTTGAGCACTGTGTGAGTGCACTAATGTGAGAGTCACCAACATGACTCTATGATATTTGAGGCCATTCTGGGGCCCTTTAGGTAACATCATTTACACTGTTAGTTCTCCTGATGGTGTGGTGGTTTGCATAAGAACGGGCCTCATCTGCTTTGTCAGCAGGGAGTGGCACTACTTCAAAGAGTAGATGTAGACTTGTTGGAGAACATCTCATCTATGTGCAACCAGCCTTCTGGATAGAGGAAAGAAGTCCCTCTTTCACAATCTCTAATCATAATACAAATCAGGATCAAGGGAGCTCTTGTCCCATCTGACTGACAGAATGTTTGTCTTCCCTGAGCGCACCTTAAAGAGTCTTCATGCTTTTCACCCCAAATCATTTTCCAAGCCTCTACTATGACACATAGGCATGAGTCTACTGTCTTTTCTACAATGCGAGTTTCAGTAAAGATTAAAAAAATGATGTCTTAGTTGGGGTTTCTACTCCTGTACAAAACATCATGACCAAGAAGCAAGTTGGGGAGGAAAGGGTTTATTCAGCTCACACTTCCACATTGCTGTTGGTCACCAAAGGAAGTCAAGATAGGAACTCACACAGGACAGGAACTTGGAGGTAGGAGCTGATGCAGAGGTCACGGAGGGGTGCTACTTACTGGTTTGCTCAGATTGCTTTCTTACCAGCCCAGGAATGACACCACCCACAATAAAATAGGCTCTCCCTCCTTGATCACTAGGTGAGAAAATGCCTCACAGCTGGATGTCATGGACACATTTCCTCAAGGGAGGCCCCTTTCTCTGTGGTAACTCCAGCTTGTGTCAGGTTGACACATAATACCAGTCAGTACAAATGATAATGCTAACCTGTCTAAATCTTACCTCTTTGTGTAAACTCAGAAGCTTCAGTGGCCCTACAAAAGTAGAGGATCTTAACCTCCTTGTGACTGATAAGGGTGAGACTGCATGTTTCCCGGAGAAACAACAAGCCTGTTGGAGACCCAGACTGAGTCACTCCACAAACTGTCTAAAGAACTCAACCCATGGGCTGGAGAGATGGCTCAGTGGTTAAGAGCACTTTCTGTTCCTCCAGAGGTCCTTAGTTCAATTCTTAGCAACCACATGGTGGCTCACAATCATCTGTGATGAGATCTGATGCCCTCTTCTGGTGCGTTTGAAGACAGTGACAGTGTACTCACACACATAAAATAAATAAATTAAAAAAAAAAAGAAAAGAAAAGAACCCTGCCCATACAACCAGTAACATCTGCATTGCAGTCTTTCTGGCTGTCTTTGCTCTTCACACAAGGGTAGCCCATTCATAGGACAGAAGATACCAATCTATTTTTCTTCTAGCCCTATGCCTTCTCCTCTTCCACAAATGGGATTTTTGAAGTCTCCAGGATGACAGACAACCAATTTCTTCTGCAACCATACCTCCCGAGCTCAAACCTGGCAACTCCTCACCCTCCCACCTCATGCCATTCCTCTTCAGCAGGAAGTAGCCAGATCTGAACGGGAGGCCCTGGAGATAAAGAGGTTGGCATGTTAGGATGGAACCCCTGCTCATCTCGAGAACAAGCCGGGAAACCCCAACTGCTTCTCCTTCCCCCAACTCTGCCTGCTCTAAGAAAACTCTGGGGTGACTTGTCATCATTTGTCATCTCGGAGTTTCTGGCCAGGGGCTCAGTTTTTGATCATGGATGGACACAGTGATCACGTGTCATCATTCCACTTCCTAGAACCACAAAACCTTCTTGCTTTAGCCTGGATGTGTAACTTCCCTGATCTCCACGTGTGACATCAGTGAATCCACTTGAGAGCTGCCTCCTAAGAAACTTGCCCTATCTAGTTTTAATCTGGTCTAACCTGGCCTGTGTTTGCATCACTGAGAAACAAGGCACCTATCAGGAAGAACCTGTTGCTACTTCCACCTCTCAGCAAGCTAAGGCTATGTTGCACTATAGAGGTGGTGTGGTCCCCACCGAGTACCAAACACTTGTCCTAGCTGTGCAAGCTCCCAGGGGTGATCTTCCCCCTTTGGCCACATCAGTTAGAAACATCTTCTCCCTAAACACAGAGCCCAGGAATTCCCCTGTGCTGTGAAACTTGTTGATTGCCAGAATCTGCCTGTCTGTAGGTCACAGGTGATAGCTTTCATATTCATCTTAATTCTGTGTGGGCAAACCCCACCCTACCCCATCCAACTGATGATCCAGTATCCCTCAGAAACGCAGCACTATAGTTTGTACATTTATTGAATGTTTCCAACTCTTGGGTCTCATTGCATTCTAACCCGGTGACTGAGTTGGGTACTTGGCCTTCCTAGAGGCTGGGCTTGGCAAGATTCTGCCCTGGCTGGAGGGAAGGGCATGGAGATGTTGCTGGAAGGGAGGCCTGCAGGCTAATGAGGTTTCTGGCTTCGACTAGACAATAGAGCCAGGGAGGCATAGAGAGCACATGTGGGGTCCTGAGAAGTCGGTTCCCAGTGCACCTGGGGGGGTTCCACCCGCAACCTTAGGCCACATTCTTCTAGCAAGACCCAGGTGGGAGCCTTCTCATCCCAGCTGTCGCCAAGGAGCCTGGCAGGCAGGAACACAGTCCTCTGCTCCTTCCATGGGGTGCTCTTTACCAAGATGTGTTCCACCTATCAACAGAGGAGGGTAAGAGGTTATAGATGCTGCCTGTAGTTTGAGCCTGAGGGAAGCAGCCCTTTCCCCTGTCAATCTTGATATCCCCAGGTCCCCATTGCACCCCCCAGGCCGGGTCTTCTCACCAACTCCAGGTGCTTTGACAGTACTGTTGTCTCCAGATCCTTAGCCAGCATCTGCCTCTGAGTTTCACTCAGCACTGGGGAGAGATCTGGTCTGAGAGAGGGTTCCAGAATGCCCATATAGAACCTAGTCCTCCCTTCCTGTCCCTACTAATGCCTCCTTGGTCTGCTCACCATTCAGTGTTCCCAGCAGGTAGAAGATAGGGGCTGCCTGTTTTATCACCAGCTCTCCAGAAGTGAGATCCAGACACTCAAGGATGCAGCCTGCTGGGCCCTCAAGAGGCTCCACCTTCCATCCACTGCACAGTCCCTGCCCTAGCTGAGGAGGCACTAGTAAGTGAGACTAAGCAGGTTTGTCCAGACCCTGTCCACCACCGACACTCACTCACTGAGGCCTCTAAGGCTTCCAGGCTGGTCTGGTCCTGTAAAATCCTCCTGATGTCCACTAGTAGCTGTTGTTTCGTCTCCATTTTTAATCTCCCAAGTTCTAAGGAACCAGCCTTAACCTCTGCAGACAGGTCTTGGAAGTCTTCCCTGAATTCTTCTTCATCAGGGATTCTACCTGCAGGGACTGAGGGCAGTACCACCTGATGCCCATGAGGTCTTGGGGAACATTAGTTAGGAGGAGTAGGTCCAGGTAGCAGATGCAGAAGCCATGGAGTTCCAGGGAGGTCAAGGGGTTACTGACCTGTCTTGTCTGTGATCCTCGAAAATGGGTAGCGGTGATGTAGTGCAGCGAACAGATAAAATCTATGGCGCTTCTGGTCCACTACACTTCTGTTGACCTGACAACAAATCCAGATGGTGGAAGGGGAAGAGCTGTTTTGTGTAGAGACCCATGGACCATTGTCTCATGTCAAAGAGGGATGAGATTTTCCCCTGGACCCTCCCAGACCCATCCCTCCTACTAATGGCAGCCCAGGGCAGATGGAAAGCTAAGCTGGCCCAGCTACATCACCTGAGTTGAGCCTCACCCATTGTGTATACATGTGTATGTGTGGTGTGTGCCCACCTCATGCCCTGAGCACAGAACCCCTCAAAGCTAAGGGGCATGTAAGGCCAGAGGGTTTGGGACTTTACCTGAGGAGGATTCAAAGGTCCTCTGTTTCTCATCTGAGACGAGAAGGATACCTGGCAGCAGGCAGAAGCAAGCAGGTCATCAATCCATTATCCCCAGGGCTCCTGGGACCTCATGAGACCCTGCCCCTGTGACCCACATCTCAGTCCTGACACACTTTAACATCCTGTCTGGGAGATCATGCAGCCAGATACCCACAGCATCCCCTGGCTAGCTGAAGTGCTTCTCTGCCACAGAGTCTGGACTCTAGAGACAGTCCTTTGCCACTCACCCCATGTAGAGCTAATGAGCAGTTTGGCCACTTGGAATGCAAGGACGCTGCCTGGAGGAAGGGTCACCATCTTCTTCCGGCTTTGGTGGCCTTTGCCTTCAACCTGTAGGATGGATATGGGCTCAGGGGTGTAGAGTGAATAGCTACGAGTGGAGTGTCAGCAGGAAGTGGCACTATTTCAAAGGAGTAAGAGATGTAGTATGTTGGAGTACTTCTAATCCATGTGCATCCAGCCTTCTGGATAGAGGAAAGAAGTCCCTCTTTCACAATCTCTAATCATACTGCAAATCAGGATCTAGGGAGCTCTTGCCCCTTCTGTCTCACAGAAGGTTTGTGTTCCCTGAGCTCACCTTAAAGAGTCTTCATGCTTTTCACCCCAAATCATTTTCCAAGCCTCTACTATGACACAAAGGTATGAGTCTACAGTCTTTTCTACAATGTGAGTTTCAGTGTAGATTACAGACAATGATGTCTTCGTCAGGGTTTCTATTCCTGTAAAAAAAACATCCTGACCAAGAAGCAAGTTGGGGAGGAAAGGGTTTATTCAGCTCACACTTCCACATTGCTGTTGGTCACCAAGGAAATCAGGATAGGAACTCACACAGGGCAGGAACTTGGAGGTAGGAGCTGATGTAGAGGCCGTAGAGGGGTGCTACTTACTGGTTTGCTCAGCTTGCTGTCATACCAGCCCAGGAATGACAACACCCACAATAGACTAGGCCCTCCCCCCTGGATCACTAATTGAGTAAATGCCTCACAGCTGGATCTCATGAGGCATTTTCTCTAAAGAGTCTCCTTTCTTTGTGGTAACTCTAGCTTGTGTCAAGTTGACACATACAACCAGCCAGTACAAATTATAATACTAAAATGTCTAAATCTTACCTCTTTGTTTAAACTCACAAGCTTCAGTGGCCCTACAAAAGTAGAGGATCATAATAATGTCCTTGCGACTGATAAGGGTGAGACCTGCATGTTCCCCGGGAAACAACAAGCCTGATGGAGACCTAGACTGAGTCACTCCAACAAACTGTATAAAGAACCCACCCATGGGCTGGAGAGATGACTCAATGGTTAAGAGCACTGACTGCTCTTCCAGAGGTCCTGAGTTCAATTCCCAGGAACCACATGGTGGCTTACCACCATTGTTATGGAGTCTGATGCCCTCTTCTGGTGTGTGTCTGAAGAAAATGATGGTGGTGTACTCATATGCATAATATAAAGAAATAAATATGAAAAAGTTAGCAGTATAAAAACAGAAAGAAATTTTAAAAAAATAACCAAAACTACATAGCATGAAAGGCCACTTGGCTGGTTGACTGTCATCCTAAGTAAATTGTAGTAAGACTGTAGAAAAACAAATCCCGAGGTCCATGCAGACAGGAAACTGGAAACAGTAGAGCTGTTCTAGAATGCAAAGACAATATTTCAAATGGGTAAATGTAGAGTTACCAAGTGACCTAGCAATTGGACTTTTAGGTGCATATCCAATGCAAGATGTCATCACGGGATTGTGGCAATCAATGGTGATGTGTTGCTGAAAAAGGAAACAAGAGATCAAACAGATCAAATGTGTACACCAATGTCTATTGTAGTATTTAAAGTTTTAAAAAATGTTTATTTTAAGTATTTGAGTTCTTTGTCTGCATGTGTGCATGTACAACATATGTGGATGCCAGGAACTGAGTCCTGGTCTTCTGTAAGAGCATCAAGTGCTCTTAACCCCTGAACCATCTTTCCAGGTCTCCATGGTAACATTTTAAAGAGTCAAGCAGATAACCCTTAAGTGACCTGGATGTCCATCAACTCATATATAGATTTTTAAAAATAGTAAATTTGTACAGTATTTTCCCCAGTTCTGGGCCCTGCACATACCAGGCAAGAAAGTGGTCTATAACTAAGCTCTGTCACCAACCCACAGTAGGGTGCCTGCATGGCAATCGGGAGGCATGAATACACTTCTAAGATACACTGCAGAATGTGGATGAAACCTGAAACCATGGCCACAAGCAGAAGAAGCCAGACCAAAACTAAACCAAACCAACACAAACCAACCAACCAACCACACACCCACACCATTACTGTGCAAGTTATCCTGTATGAAATCTCGAAAATAAGCCAATCTGTAAGTGGTTGCCACTGACTAAGGGATGAATAAATAGGGAGAAACTCCTAATGGTTTTGGAGGGTTTTTTCCCCTGTGGTGTGGGCAATAGTCACACAGGTTTATTTATCTGTGCACTTGTTTATTTAATTGAACTTGGAGACAGGGTCTCTTTATGTATCCCCTGCTGGCCTGAAACTCACAAGACAAACAAGACTGTCTTGGGACTCACAGAGATTCACCTGCCTCTGCCCCCTGAACACTGGGCTTAAAGGCATGAACCACCTTGCCTATACATGTTTGAATATACTAGACTCCCGGAATTATGCACTTTCAAATGGCTGGAGTATATGTCAATAGAGGCATTTAATTTCAAACCTTTAGACTCCCAGGGGGCTGTAGAGACAGGCCAGCAGTTAAGAGCATGTACACTATTACAGAGGGTTCAAGATCTGTTCCTAGCACTCACATGGTAGCTAGTAATCAAGTTCCAGAGCATCCAGTGTGTTCTTTTCCCCTTCATGGCCACTACACACACATGGTACACAGAAACACAAGAAGACAAAGCAGAAAATAAAAATGAAGAAAAAATGCTTTGAATAAACCTGGAGTTTAGTTGAAGCTCTCAATCTAGCTACAGGCTCCTCAGGGCCTTGCTGTTCTGGTGTCAGATGCTGTGGACCTGCTAAGCACACAGTACCTAACAAGCAGCCCTCCCAGACCACTCTTAGGCTTTGGAGCATTGTAGCTTTAGCCCCAGGTTTAAGGTCGGGCTCTTGAGAGTGTCCCTTCTCCCAGGCTTGGCCATGGTAGGAACAGGCTGCTGCCAGGTCCAGGTCCCTTCATTGACATCTCCCAGCTCCTCAGGGATGGGATGTTTGCAGCCCATCCAACCTTTGAAGACATATAGCTAGACAGAGCTGTTCTCTACCAGGACCCCAGAAATCAAGAAGCTCATTCATATTCTGACTCTAGAGATGTGCAGGCCCTCTCTATTGGAGGGGCCCATAGCTGTGGTGCTGACCTGGTGTGGTCTCTCCATGATGAAGACAGGGCACTGGTCTGGATGGGAGCTTGCCTGGTGCAACTCCTTGTTCACAGTTTTGGGACTTTAAAACTAATCTGAAATGAAAAGTTCTGGGTCTGTTGGCTCCTGATTCAGACAAAAGGGAAACATTATATTGTATTGAGAAAACCCCAGGACCAGTTCATCAGGTAGAGGGTGTGTGGGGTTTGTGTCGACCTTGAGCTCTGATTGAACTCATTTGCTGGTCATGAGTCCATCTCCTTTCTGGTTTCAGTAGGAGGCTCAAAGGAGAGTAGCATTCAGTATAAATGTATGTGTCCTAGTTGGCTTCAGCTGGCAGATCCCTTACCTCCCCTTCTATATGCCAAAGATATCTCCTCACCAGGGACAGCCAAAGAATGCAAAGATTAGAATGCAAGAATTGCCTAGGTTAGATTGCCCTATTGGCATTTCTGTGGGGCTATCATCTTCAATCGTAATCGCGTGGGAAGGGCCATCCCTTTGTATGCGGTATCATCTGTATCCATCTGTAAATGTCGTTGGGCTGTATAAGAGAACTATGGGAGAATATACGTGGGAGTGAGCCAGCACACAAGCCAGCAAGCAACTTCCCTCCTTGGTATCTCCCACAGCTCATGTTCCTGTGCTGATGTAAAGATTAGATGAGAGAATTAGAACTTTCTCCCCACTTGAGAAACTACCAGGTGGCTGAAACCTTCCATTGTGCTCTCAGTCAGAGAATTCCAGAAACGCCCTGTCCCAGGAAATGACTCAGCCAAGGTATGGGTGAGACCCCTTACCTCCCCTTCTACATACCAAAGATATCTCCTCACCAGGGCCTGACATTGAATGCAAAAACAATGGGCCCCACCAATGAGAGGTAACCAGCTCATGCTACCAAATACCTATAGTCTGAAGAAGTATAAAACTGAATGTCGTTTTTTTCCATGGTCGCCTCTGCTCTGATTGAAGGACGGCCCCATAACACTGGATGAATCAATAAACCTCTTGAATATTGCATTGATCTCTATCTCTGTGTCTTTAGAGAGGGACATACTGGTCATAGGAACAGGTGCTCCGAGACTTAAACTAACTTCCTTCAAAGAAGAACTGAGACATACAAGCCACATAAATCCTTTCCTTCCCACAGCAACAAGAAACAAACCCAAACAGTATGTGCATGTTGTACACATATGTCTCTGTATCTGTGTGTACTATATGGACATGTGTCTGTTTACTTGTTCATGTGTTTGTACCTGTAAGTATATGTGTTCATGTTTCTACAGGAGCATGTACAAGCATGTGTTTCTGGAAGTATAGATGCTTTTGTGTGTTTATGTGTGCACATTTGCACAATGCATGTGTTTGAGTGTATCAGTGGGGCTTGTGCCAAGCCAGGGCTGTCCACTGCAGGAAGTGACTCCATCTGACATACCAGGTCTTCAATCTCCCTCTGCTCCTTTTCTAAGCAGTACTGACCCTTATGAGCCTTGTTCCTTATTTCTCCCTCTCCAGTTGTGCCAGCTTTAGGTCAGGGACAAGGACAAGTAGTCTTTCTTTATTTGTTTTGAGACAGGGTCTTTTTATGTTTCCCTGGCTGTTCTGGAGCTCACTATGTAGATCAGGCTGGCCTCAAACTCATAGAGATCCTGCTGCTTCTGTCTGAGATTAGGTCCATGAACCATAGCACCCTGCTGGATGAAGCATTTTGAGTGCAGGGGGATCTTGAGGGTTTTCAGCAGGATGTGATAAGCTCTTCTTTACTTCTGTTATTTTTTGGTTTTCAAGAATTTGTATTGAAGACCTCCGCAGAGGGGAGACCCTCACTCAATTCTCAGAAAGTCTCGACCACCCAGTAATCTGCTCGAGACACCGTGAACTGGAGCAATATCGAGGTTTATTAGGGTGTATGACAGCTAGCTGCCGGTCAATTCGTATGCCCATGCAGGAGCAGAATTGACCCCAACAGCCAGTT